CTCTGGTCACCAAATACATGAGGGTTTTCCCCCCACCACAAGCAGTTCTCTGCAACACCAGCTGGGTTCGAACACTATCTACCTGGAGGAATTCGAACACTATCTACCTGGAGATAGCATCTGATTCCACAGGTTAAGGGCTCAGGCCCACAAGACTGTTCCCACCCTACTTCAGACGCCAATTACAAGTACTGGGTCCCCAGGTTACCCTCAACTTCTGTCCAATTTGACTACAAAACAAACGGGGTTGTGAGGTTCCCACAGCCCCCGCCTCAGGTTCTATTAATTTCTGAGGGTGGCTCACAAAACTTGGAAACACTTACATTGACCAGTTTATTAAGGATATGATAAGGGAGGGCGCCTGGGTGGCTCAGTTGGTTGAGTGACTGCCTTCGGCTCAGGTCATGATCCTGGAGTCCCGGGATCGAGTCCCTCATCGGGCTCCCTGCTCAGCACGGAGTCTGCTTCTCCCTCTGGCCCTCCCCCCTCTCATGTGCTCTCTCTCAAATAAATAAATAAAATCTTAAAAAAAAAAAAAAAAGGATATGATAAGGGAGACAGATGAACAGCCAGACCAAGAGCTACATAGGGGGAGGTCTGGGAGGGTCCTGACAGCAGGAGCTTCTGTCCCTGTGGAGTTGGGGTATGTCACACTCCTGGTGTGGATGTTTCACCAACCAGAAACTCTCTGGGCTCCATACTATTGGTATTTTTATGGAGGCTTCCTTACACAGGCATGATTAATTATTAACTTGGTTTCTAGCTCCTTTCCCCTCTCTAAAGGATGAGGGGTGGGCAGAAAATCCCAAGCGTCTAATCATGGCTTGGTCTTTCTGGTGACCAACCCCAACCCAGAAGCCAGTCTACGGTTGCCTCAATAGACCAAAAGATGCTCCACGTGCTCTTATCACTTAAGAATTTATGAAGGTTTTTTTTTTAAGTTTTTATTTATTTATTTGACAGAGAGATACATAGCGAGAGAGGGAACACAAGCAGGGGGAGTGGGAGAGGGAGAAGCAGGCCTCTAGCTGAGCAGGGAGCCTGATGCAGGGCTCAATCCCAGGACCCCGGGATCATGACCTGAGCCGAAGGCAGATGCTTAATGACTGAGCCACCCAGGTGCCCCAATCTACAAAGGTTTTAAGATCCCTCTGTCTGGGGAGGGGTCAAAGACAAATATTAGAACAAGAAGTGCTCTTAGTGTTCTTGTTATTAGGAAATTATGAGGGTTTCAGTACTCTGAAATGGGTGGTGGGAGAAACCAATATATATTTTTTCTATTATCTCACAAGTGGTATGTACTGAATCACAGTTCCTTTAAGTACTTTTCCTTCGTGAAGGAAGGATAATATAAGAGGTTGTTGAAAGGGGAATAGGAAAAAAAGTGAAATAAAAGGAAAAAAAAGAAAACAAATGTCCAGGGCCATGGTTCTCCACCCAGTGATTTTGCCCCCAGGGGACATTTGGCGTTGTCTAGAGACACTTTTTTGGTTGTCACAACAGGGGGGTTGTTGCTGACATATAACTGGTAGAGGCTAGAGATGCTAACAAACATTCTACAATGTACAGTACAGCCCTACAACAAAGACTGAAGACCAAATGTCTATGATATCAAGATTGAGAAACCCTAGGATAAACTTTGGGATGATTGCATCAGTATAAAAATTTGAATGTCTTTAAACCCAGTAATTGTACTTTTAGGAATCTGTCTCTTGAAATATTCACCCATGTGCGCCTGGCTGGCTCAGTCGGTAGAGCATGCAACTCTTGATCTTGGGGTTGTAAGTTCAAGCCCCACAATGGGTGGAGGGATTACTTAAAAATAAAATATTTAGGGGCGCCTGGGTGGCTCAGTCGGTTAAGAGTCTGTCTTTGGCTCAGGTCATGATCCCGGGGTGCTGGGATGGAGCCCCGCGTCAGGCTCCCTGCTCAGCGGAACTTCTGCTTCTCCCTCTCCCTCTGACTCTCCCCCACTGCTAGTACTCTCGCATGCTCTCTCTCAAATAAATAAATAAATTTTAAAAAAGAAAATCTTTAAAAAATAAAAAAGAAAATATTCACCCATGTGTACAAAGATACACAGGTGTTCATTGCTTATAATTTCAAAATTGGAAATGATTCAAATGCCTATTAATTGGTAATTGTTAAAAAGAATGACAAGGAAGATGTTTAAAATATATTGTAAATTGAGGGGCCCCTGGGTGGCTCAGTTGGTTAAGTTCCGAACTCTTGATTTCAGCTCAAGTCATGATCTCAGAGTTGTGAGATTGAGCTCCACACTGGGTATGGAGCCTGCTTAAGATTCTCTTTCTCCCTCTCTCCACCTAAAAAAAAAAGTATATATAATAAATTGAAAAATCAAATTGCAGAACAATATATATGTTGTCTTATTTTTTGTTAAAAAAACATAACTCATGGGGCACCTGGGTGGCTCGGTTGGTTAAGCGTCTGCCGTTGGCTCAGGTCATGATCCCGGGGTCCTGGGATCAAGTCCTGCATCAGGCTCTTTGCTCAGCGGGGAGTCTGCTTCTCCCTTTGCCTGCTGCTCCCCCTGCTTATCTGCTCGCTCGTTCTGTCAAATAAATAAATAAAAATCTTTAAAAAACCACAACTCATATACATTTATATATTATATATACATATATATAGTTTATTTTTTATTTACTTATTTTTTGAAAAATCCTTTAATTTTATGTAATCTCTACACTCAATGTGGGCTTGAATTTACAACCCTGAGATCAAGAGTCACATGCTCGGGGCGCCTGGGTGGCTCAGTCGTTAAGCGTCTGCCTTTGGCTCAGGTCACGATCCCAGAGTCCTGGGATCGAGGCCCACATCGGTCTCCCTGCTCAGCCGGGAGCCTGCTTCTCCCTCTCCCACTCCCCCTGCTTGTGTTCCCTCTCTAGCTGTCTCTCTCTCTGTGTCAAACAAACAAACAAACAAACAAACAAACAAATAAATAGAGTCACATGCTCTGCAGACTGAGCCAGCCAGGCACCCTAGTTTCTTTAAAAACATATATGTTGTGTGCATATGTATGTGTATCTGCACAGCTGAATATCTGGAAAGATAAATACCAAACTGAAGACAGACGTTGCCTCTGGGAATGGGATTATTGGCAATAGAAGAACTTTCATGTTTAATTCATCTATTTCTGATTTATTTTGCTTAAGGCCTCAAGGACTAGGCCTTTGCTTTGGCAAATGTGAGACAGATTACAGTCTAGCTTTGAGACTACTGATTTACTAATTTGTAAGACTTGGGGCGCCTGGGTGGCTCAGTCGTTAAGCGTCTGCCTTGGGCTCAGGTCATGATCCCAGGGTCCTGGGATCGAGCCCCGCATCGGGCTCCCTGCTCGGCGGGAGGCCTGCTTCTCCCTCTCCCACTCCCCCTGCTTGTGTTCCCTCTCTCGCTGTATCTCTCTCTGTCAAATAAATAAAAATATTAAAAAAAAAAAAAGACTAATTCACCCAATTAATATAAATCAGGGGTCAACAAATTGTGGCCCTCTGACCAAATCCAGCCTGTGTCCTGTTTTTTTATACACTCTGTGGACTGGAATGATTTTTATATTTTTGAATGGTTGAAAAATCAGAAGGAGAATAATATTTTGTGACATAAAATGTATACAAAACTCAAATGGCAGTGCCCACAAGTAAACCTATATTGGAACACAGCCACACTCATTCATTACAAACTGCCTGTGGCTACTTTTATGCTACAACAGCAGAGTTGAGTGGTTTTGAGACAGACCATCTGCCCCTCAAAACCTAAGATATTTATTATCTGGCCCTTTATAGTAAAAGCCCACTAAGTCCTGATACAAATCATGAAAAATGCTGTCTAGAATGTTGAACTTCCAACTCTTTTGCTTACGTACCCTCTAAAAGAACTGTGAAAAGCTTTGTCGTCTTTTTAACGTTTTAAATTGACATCCAAAGTATTTTCATTTTGGGACATGTGGCTGGCTCAGTCAGTAGAACACGTGACTCTTGATATCGGGGTGATGAGTTCAAGCCCCATATTGGGTGTAGAGATTACTTAAAAAAAATTTTTATTTTTTTTTAAAGATTTTATTTATTTATTCATAAGAGACAGAGAGAGAGGCAGAGGGAGAAGCAGGCTCCCTGCTGAGCAGGGAGCCCGATGTGGGACTTGATCCCAGGACCCTGGGATCATGACCTGAGCCGAAGGCAGCCGCTTAACCATCTGAGCCACCCAGGCACCCGAGATTACTTAAAAATTTTTAAAAAAATCTTTAAAAAAAGTGTTTTCATTTTAAGTTTAAATAGATGCAAAGGATCTAATTTATTCTAGCATTTACATGTTGCTGTTTTATTATTTAAGAGAGGTGTGCACGAGTGGGGGAGGTGCGAAGGGAGAGAGAGAGCGAGAATCTCAAGCAGACTCTGCTCACGGGGGAGCCCAACAATGTGTGAGGGTCCTTTTTTCTCCACAGAGGACATCCCTTTTATTAGCCCATGGAGTAATGCAGAAAACTTGATTCATATTAGAACAACCTAGACTCCTGAGGATGCTGTAACCTAGGTACAAGCTCAGCCCTGGCCAGCACTACATTGGTTTATGGGGTTGAGATAGAGCAGTGCTCTGTCCCCTGGGACTGTTCACCCTGAGTGAATCCACCTTCTCAGCATGTCCCTGGAATAGGTCTCTTTAGTCACAGATACAAGGGCGTCCCATCACTGCTGCTACTTCTGCATAATAGTAAAGACATTAAAAATGCAGGCTAACCCCAAAGGTCATGCAGATGCCCAAGCCTTCTTGGGAGGGAAATTCAGGCATATTTGCCACGTTAGGCTTCTGACGGGGGTCAAAGAAGGACAGGTCTTGAAGTCCTAAATTCTACTTTCTTATTTATTGTACTAATTCATAGAGCTATTCTGATAAACCGTGGCTGAAGAGGCTTTCTCTTTGGGTCTACCTTTTACATGAGACCATGTGTTCGGCATAGGCACTCATGTATTAATATTTCTCTGCAGCCTGTGAGGCCCCGCACACCAAATCCCTGGTCACAGAGTCCAGTCCTGGACCTACACACAAGAAGCAGAGGTCAATTGTCATCTGTGAAAGATCTGCGCACTGCCCGGGAAAAAAGGATTATGGTGGGACCATTTGGATCTGACAACCCGGATCTCTAGCTGGGTAAATACTCAGAGAGAAATGTTTTCCAGGGTCATGTCCTCTTCCCCTGAAAGGAAAAGTGATCATTTCTAGCATGAGCCTTTCTCTTACTCCAAGACAGACAGCAGTGGACCCATTCTGCCTTTTTAATTGATCTTGTACAGTCTTTTTGTCATTATGTTTATAAAGAAAAATCTAACAGTAGTCCTGGTTTTTTAATGTGCACCATTTACACAGAGGGTTAAAGAAAATTGACATCACATTAGGTGATTGAACCTATTTTTCCATACTCTAGAAAGGTTATATACTAATTATAGGTCAGAGCTCCAAATTTTACTAGAGTACAAATATTAAAAGACCCATCATCCTTTGCAAGCTGTATGAAGAGCCCTCTGAAACCCAAACTAGAATACCATTTGTCTAGGAAAGGGACAGCTTAGGTGATTTTTTTTTTTTTAATCTACAATTCTAGTCTTGTTCTAGAGCAAGTTCTTTACAAGAGTGTTACAAGAAGACCAGGCTGGCACGATCATTCTCCCTCGCACCACATAGGTGGGTATGAACACTCTGAGATCCCTTGGAAGCATCACTGAAGTTTCACAATGCTGACTGACAATTCTCAGCAACCTCAACATACCCTCACGCTTTCAAGATTTAGACATGATGGAAGAGGTGCAGACTGTATATGTATCACTGGATGGCATTCTATCAGAGCATACTGATGTAGGCGGGCCAGGGCAAGGACCCAGAGGGGTCCTGCAGGACCAACCAAGAGGGTCCTTGGCTTCACGCAGGATAGAAATCAAACTTGAGCCAGCAAGAAGTGAGAGCAGAATTTATTGAAGGCATAGAGAGAGCAGATACCGATGGAGCATTTGGGAGACTCCAGAAGGGAAAGGAGCATGAGTCTTGTCTTTGCTCGGGGTCTGGAGTTTTTACTGAGGATGGTAGTTTCATCTACGTGTCCTTTCTGGCATCCAGGAACTGGTCAAAACAAGGATGAGTGCTCAGATGTCCTCCATAAGTCACTCATGCCCTGGAGTCAGGGGTGTCTGGAGCCCGTGGTCTTGAAAAACGTACATGACCACCCCACCCGGTCAGTCCTTAGATACTATTGTGCTGGGAGACTCCAAAGAAATCATAAGCTCCTTGACCTTACAAGGAGGACATACATTTGTACTAGAAGCCATGATGCAAGGGCAGGAGTACAGGTCCTAGTGAGAAGACAAGCAGGAAAAGGAGCAAAGAATAAAACCAGCTCTTTTTTCATGGGGTCCCTTCAAGTTCCTTGTCTCAACACAATACCAAAAAAAAAAAAAAAAAATCACTATGGGAGAGGAGAGACCCAGTATTCAAAGTAGTGTGACTCCAGCTTTCTTTCTTAAAAATTGATTGTTATTTATGCCTTAAAGAGCTTTGGGAAATTTAGAGATGAAAATACAGGCAATGTGAATCGCTCCTTTTTTCTTGCCCTAATCACATCCCCTCTTCCGGCGGCACTGTCATCACCAGCAATATAAAAAGCAATAATTTCCACTATGAATGCCTCGCAGTTATGGGACACAGGGGAAAAAAGGACTTTGGGGGAGTATCAGTTCACTGCATAACAGAAAATCTTTCCTTTTCCTGACCCGCATAACCCATGTTTTTATTTATTAGTTTACACATTCCATCCAAGTGAAACAGGAATCCAAAAAGCACCATCGTGTATATGGAGGTTATTTCCACATCTATTCAACCAGAGGATTCTGGGATCTGGCTACCAAGAGGCATTTGAGACAATAAAGAATTCTGTTCGCGTACTTTCTCAGCCCCTCTAGCTTTGACTTTGTCATTTCCTCGTGAAAGGCCTTTATTGTGAGCTTTGCATTGCTGGCAAGAACAAGAGAGCCCAACTGAACTCTTCAGTCAGTCAGCAAGGCCAAACAGAGGGTCTCTTAGAAGGTCTGAACTGTGGGAGATGTAGCAGCCGCCAAAGAAATGGCCCTTGTGCTCGAGGGGTTTACAAGGGTTCTATAAGGCATACATATAAGGATCTTTCACAGACAATATGCTCAATCTAGTAGGAAGTGTGTGGCACCCAGCGGATGTGCTGTAGGAGTCGGGGTGGGGGTGGGAGGTGCAGGAGTAGTCATGGAGACCCAGGAACTCGCTTGGCTCTCAGACCGAGCACAGGACTCGGAACGTACCGAGGAGAGGAGGGAAGACCTTCCAGGTGAGCGGAAGGACAGGCGAAAAGGCTGGAGAAGGAGTGAGCTTGGTAGGGGCCCATGACAGCTCCTTTTTCCTCTCCTGTTTCTGAATTGGTTTACTTGGTACTTTGCAATAAAGAAGCTGGACATCCATTCTCCTTACCCTCCTGCTTTTGCTAATCTGTTCATATGAACAAAATATTATAATGATAAAATACTCCAGGAGTGTCACATTCCTTTATAAAGACCCTCACCTGTTCCTCCCCACTGAGACATCTGTAGCACACTCTCTTCTCAGTTATCTCCTTTTCCTTGTTCCTCTTTTCATCTTTCCTCTCCCTTTCTTCTGCCACAACATTCATTAACTCCACTGGTTGATTAAACAAGTGACAGCTTCCTATCCTGTCCCAAAAAGAAGCTTCTGGGGGCGCCTGGGTGGCTCAGTTGGTTAAGTGTCTGCTTTCAGCAAGGGTCATGATCTCAGGGTCCTGGGATGGAACCCCCCCCCCTTGTAGGGGGCTCCCTGCTCAGTGGAGTCTGCTTCTCCTTCTGCCTCTGCCCCTCCCCCCACTTGTGCACACACTCTCTCTCTCTCTCTCTCTGTCTCTCAAATAAGAAAATCTTTTAAAAAATAAAATAAAATAAAAGGAAGCTCTGTTTGGCCCAGCATGTAGGAGAAACACCGTGCTGTCCTTCTCTTCGTTGAGATCTAGAGAAAACTTCCGTTTTTCAACCAAGATTTATATCTTTATTAGTTTACACATACCATCTCAGTTAGTATCCATTAGTGAATTACCATCCACAGTAAGCTTCTTGACCAGACCAACAGCAAAGTGGGGCTTGTGGGTCAAAATGAAAGCATCTGTGTTAGAATTTACTTTCTGTCCTTCCACAATCTCCTATTGGTTATCACTTAATCCTATCACCCTACCATCATTTCTTGATGACGGTATTGTCAGCAAATACTTACCAAATGTATGTGTTATTTACTCATCATGGATACACCAGGAAGCGTAAGACCATTTCTCTCACTTTGAGGAATTTTTTTCTCTAGTTGGATAAAATGGGCTTGTTTGTTTGGAGGCAGCATCAGATCCTCTCAGGGGTCAAGAACAAATGAGCTGGATACTCCCACGTTTTTGAGACTCCAGCTCTATTTTAAAAAATAAAGTGCCAAGGGCGCCTGGGTGGCTCAGTTGGTTAAGCGACTGCCTTCGGCTCAGGTCATGATCCTGGAGTCCCTGGATCGAGTCCCGCATCGGGCTCCCTGCTCAGCGGGGAGTCTGCTTCTCCCTCTGACTCTCCTCCCTCTCATGCTCTCTGTCTTTCATTCTCTCTCAAATAAATAAAATAAAATCTTAAAAAAAAATAAAAATAAAAAAATAAAGTGCCAAAACTGTATTTTAAAAATGGTGGTAGATTTTTTTTTTAAAGATTTTATTTATTTGACAGAGATAGAGAGAGGGAGAGCACAAGCAGGTGAAGTGGCAGGCAGAGGGAGAGGGAGAAGCAGGCTCCCCGCTGAGGAAGGAGCCCGATGCGGGGCTGGATCCCAGGATCCTGGGATCATGACCTGAGCCGAAGGCAGCCGCTTAACCGACTGAGCCACCCAGGCGCCCCCAAAAATGGTGGTAGATTTTTAATGTATACACTTAAGTGATTGCTTTTAACACAAAACATTACAATGACTAACTTTTGAAATATCAAAAATCTAAATTGACATGGATATTCACAGCGGCATTATTCATAATAGCCAAGAAGTGGAAACAGTGCGAAGGTCCATCAACTGATGGATGGATAAATAAAAGTTGCTATATCCGTACAATGAAATATTATTTGTCAGTAAGAAGAAATGAGGGTACTGGTACAAGCTGCTACAAGGCTGAACCTTGAAAATGTTACACTAAATGAAGGACGCCAGTTTTGAAAAACCACACACTGTATGATTTATATGAAATTTCCAGAACAGACAAATTTATAGAGACAGAAAGTAAATTAGTGGTTGCTTGGACGGACAGAATGGGAATGGGGAGGGGGAGGAGAATAGGAATTGACTGCTAAGGGGGTTCCTTTGAGGGGAGACAAATACGTCCTAAAATTAGATCGTGGTGATGGTTGCATACAAAAAACACAACCCATTGCATTGTACACTTTAAATGGGTGAGTTGTATGGTATGTAATTATATCTCAGTAAAGCTGTTTTTCAAAAGTCTAAATTGAAAAGCTTTTTTACGATTATGAAAGGCCCAGCAGCGTACGACGCTGAGCAGTGTGGCACAATGGACAGAACGCCAGTTTGGAAGGCAAGCCCATCTGAGTCCAAATATTCTGCTACTTATCAATTGTGTGGCTTTAGGTGAATTACTTGAATTCTCTGATATTTCTTTTGTTTACTGTAAAATGAAAATAATAATTCCTCTTAGAGAACTGTTTTTTGAATAACATTTATTTAAAAAATACTTATTAAACAGTCATTATGTTCCAGGTACTGTTCTAGACTGGGGATGTGGCAGGTGACCAGGACAGTCAAGGCTCTCTACATTACATCTCACACAAAAAATTGAGATTTTTACATGAAATCTCTCCAATGTTAAAATATTGACAACTAACTTAAAAATATTCCCCCCGCTCTCTCTCTCTTTCAAAAAAAAAAAAAGAAGAAGAAGGGGGTGCACCTGGGTGGCTCAGTTGGTTAAGTGTCCGACTCTTGATTTCTGTTCAGGTCATGATCTCAGCATCCTGAGACAGAGCCCCACATCTGGGCATGGAGCCTGCTTGAGATTCTCCCTCTTCCTCTGCCTCTCCCCCCATCTCTTTCTTAAAAAAAAAAAAAAATGAAAACACTATAAACCAGTACTGTGCCAAACACATCTGTGAACCAAATTCTGTCCTTGGGCTGACAGTTTTGACCCCTGATGTAGGCTTTTCGCATGGTGAGTTTCTAGAATATTGCCCAGTTAGCTGAACTTTAGCACTCTCAGCCTGCTCCCATATGCTGCCCAGCACCAAACAAAAAAACATTTCTCAAAATGCAGGGAAATCATCCTAGCAAGTCATGGAGCCAGGCAGTGGCCTGGATCCCGTCTCTATAAGATGCCTCAGCCTTCCTCACTTATCCAATGAGGTGCCATTCATTTTGCACGCCTGGGCTGAACTGGCACTTTCTACATGATGGGTTTGGAAGAGATTTGCTTTGTACGCCTTTCAAGACCATCCATCTGGGGGCACCTGGGTGGCTCAGTCGTTAAGAGTCTGCCTTCGGCTCGGGTCATGATCCCAGGGTCCTGGGATCGAGCCCCGCATCGGGCTCCTTCCTCAGTGGGGAGCCTGCTTCCCCCTCTCCCACTCCCCCTGCTTGTGTTCCCTCTCTAGCTGTCTCTCTCTCGCTCTGTCAAATAAATAAAATAAAATCTAAAAAAAAAAAAAAGACCATCCATCTGTCCCCTTAGAACTTCTGTGGGAGGTCAGTTTAAGACACAGTCTTGTATGGGGCGCCTGGGTGGCTCAGTTGGTTAAGCGACTGCCTTCGGCTCAGGTCATGATCCTGGAGTCCCAGGATCGAGTCCCACATCGGGCTCCCTGCTCGGTGGGGAGTCTGCTTCTCCCTCTGACCCTCTCATGCTCTCTCTGTCTCATTCTCTCTCTCAAATAAATAAATAAAATCAAAAAAAAAAAAAAAAAAAGACACAGTCTTGTATGTTAGGGTTTAGACCCTTTCGTTTTCATTTACCTGCTGCCATCTATCACAACAGTTTTGGCCAAACGTGTAAGTATGCAGTAGCACAGTATAAGCAGCTCTTTCCCGAAACTCAGTAACAGACGTGTAACTTAATCTGTGTTAATTCTCTTTCATATTCATGATATCAGAAAAGAAAAAAAGTTAAAATTACCTTGTAGCTATTCACTTCAGGATCAAATAACCACATTGCTCGTTTATCCATCACCAGAGCAGTTGAGTTTAACGCTCTGGGAAGAGAGAGTCTAGAGAGAGGACTCAGGAAATAGGTGCCTGTATTGGACCATTCTGCTGCATCACCACCAAACTGTTGTTTGGGGGACTTCACCCCAGAGGGTCACGGAATTCCCCAATGCCCCTAAGTTTGAGACTCTCACAGCTAAAAGCTAAGCGGAGCACATCCGACTTCTAAAAATCTTTGCAAAGGTGATGCGATGTGGTAGAAAAATGGTGTGCTCGAGTTCAAATTTCCTTCTGCTACTACTAAGTTGGAGACTCTGTGCAGATTACTTTACCATTCCGAGCTTTACTTTGATCATTTGTAACATGGAAAGCATAATTATCTCATAGGTCTATTGCTATGATTCTCAACCGGGTTGCATATTTAAAGATTTTTATTTATTTATTTATTTAAGACAGAGAGAATGAGAGAGAGAGAGAGAGAGAGAGAGAGAGAGAGAGAGAGAGAGCACATGAGAGGGGGGAGGGTCAGAGGGAGAAGCAGGCTCCCTGCCGAGCAGGAAGCCCGATGCGGGACTCGATCCAGGGACTCCAGGATCATGACCTGAGCCGAAAGCAGTCGCTTAACCAACTGAGCCACCCAGGTGCCCCGGGTTGCATATTTAAATTCCTTTTTAAAAAATGTCGCAGCTTATGCTGCACATACGTCCCCCAAATTAAGTCAAAATTTCTGAAGGTCAACTCCAGACCTCCGTAGATTTTTTTTTTTTTAAGATTTTATTTATTTATTTGACACAGAGAGAGAGCACACAAGCAGGCAGAGCATCAGGCAGAGGGAGAGGGAGAAGCAGACTCCCTGCTGAGCAGGGAGTCCCATGCAGGACTTGACCCCAGGACCCTGGGATCACAACCTGAGCCGAAGGCAGATGCCTAACTGACTGAGCCACCCAGGCGCCCCGACATCTGTAGATTTTAAAAGCTTCACGAGTCATTCTAATATGCAATCAGGATA